ATTTTCTGAGATTGTGGATTTGGGGTTTTCATGAGCTGTAAGCCATAATCATCACAGTTATGACACATCACGGCTTGAACTATCTTGCTTTGCATGTAATGAGTCTATCTCATATATTAGGTTCACCTTTTAAGTTGCATTACTGAAATAAATGAACTTTTGCACGATATTCTAATTTTTCGAGTTTCACCTGTAAGTCTTTATTGAACAGTTATGCAAAGAACTGGCCTCTAAAAGTTTCTCTTTATATATTTAAGTGCAACTGAGCTCAGTGGGATTTGGTTCTAAGAGAATAGAATTCAGTGGTTAATCAAAATAATAAAAATGGAAGGGGTGTAGAGCTTTGACTGAGTGCAAGAATCTAATTTATCACTGGTAGCTCTCAAGCCTTTGCTTGAATAGTGGAGGGAAAATTGGTTCCTTTATCAAATTGGTCTTATCATTAGAATTTTTCTTCCAGACATTTAGTAACTTCCTGTTACTTAAAGTCATTGTTCCCCACTTGGAAGCAGAGTAGGTATCACATTAGCAGAAGGAAGAGGAGAAGAAGGAAGGTGAAAGTATTCAAATTTAATTAAAAACCCTAAAGAATGAAGGAAGTTTCTAAGAAGCTTCTCTTGTTTTTTCCTACCTGTTTCATAATGTATTCTTGCTCTTCAAGGAGGCTTAATAAGTTAACTAGACCCTGAGCATTTATCATTTTTCATGTTCCCGGTGTTAAACCTTGGTGAATTCATTCTGCATAAATTTGATTTCTCTAGATGTGGTCTCAATAGGCCATTATATGTATTCCCAACAATAAAGAAGAGAGGATATCTTTATTTGCGGGAGCTCCAGGTTCTCTTTGTGATTTATTGTTTTGCTTAGGCTATTCATTCAATTGGATGGCATCATGAAGGGAAGCAATTTATGTGCAGTCATTCTGATGGCAGTTTAACTCTATGGAATCTAAAAAGTCCCAGCCGGCCTTTCCAGATAATCATTCCTCATGGTAAGATATATCCATTGTTGCTGATATATGTAAAATACAATTAAAGCATTAAAGTTCTGACTTAGGCAATGCACTTTTGTATTGGCTTTAACTGAGCAATGGACCTTGATAATTTCAAATAGAATTATAGCATTTAAATCCGGGCTCTATTTATCATAGTTTTCATGATTTTTTTATTGGAACTGCTTTCCATAATCTAGCCTGTTATTGTGAATAATATGGCAGGAGACTCACTATTCTCTTTGTCAGAATCTAATAGAAGACAAGCAATACTATCTATACTAGGGGCAAATCTCAGCAAAGGGCAATAGCCTTAAGGCTAAGGTTATCTATCTGGATTAGCCAAAGACCAGCTTGATGAATGGGCAAACCAGAAAAGGGCAATCTTTTAATGCGTGGACTAATTTACCTCTTGTCTAATCTATCCAGTTGAGAAAAATATTTCCATATTTCCTTCAAAGACAAGCAGAAGCTTTAGAAAGCAAGCTGATTGGGGAATAAAATTCTGACAGAGCAGCTGAATTACTTGCAAACAGGAAATGATGATGCAAAAACAAACAGAGAAAATGAATGGTGAGGAAATGTTTCTCTAGAAAAATGACCCAAAAAGAAAAGAGAAGTATTGTGAAATATTCTGTTGCTGGACTGTGCTGGTCTTTAACTGTGGTAAAGGTTGTTTTGATTTGATGCTAGAATGGGACAATTTACAGAGGAGAAATAACAGAAAGAAAAATGGCCTTGGGGCACATATGTAAAATCAGATCTGGCTTTATGCTAAGGTTGAGTAGACACTGGCCCAGGAACTCCAGAATTGAAAAGACTTCCCAAAACACAGTGAAAAACAGAAAAGCAGTAATGGTGCACTATGTGAACCAGCACAGCCACTCGAACATTAAATATAATTTCTCTGAATTGTTGCCTTATGATGACAATGGATACTGTAATTAAAATTACTTACTGTGTAAATAAGGTGAAAATGTCTGAGAAAAAAATTGTCCTGAGTGGAAAATCCTAAGGATAACTTCCAAAACTCAAAGAAAGAAAGAAACAAGAGGGCATCTTTTTTTGAAATTCCTCACTGAATGGGAAGATGAGCCCATTCAGGGAGAACTGGAATAAGATTTTGCCTAGGCTGCCAAAATATCTAGAACCAATCCTGCATTAAATATCATGAATATTGTGAGACTAAAAAGGAGAAATTCTCCAGAAAGGTTGTCTAGAAAAATGAATGGTTGCCACTGCCTGAGATGTGCTTTTAGGGGACGAGCTTGCTCTCTTTGTCAGCTGCCCAAGACTGCCTTATTCAGCAAAGGTTTGGTATTTTACTATTAATATTTTACTATTAATGTTTCAGCTCTTTTTGATGCCATAGCCCCAGCTGAGCTTATGAAGTACATTGGAGTGTTGTTCTTTGTTGTATCCCTAAGGTCATCTCCAATCCACGGAGGCCCCTAGAAACATGATCACTTTACTCTTGTAATTGTTTGTTATTGCTTAGAACAGCCATAGCAACTCTATCTACTGGCATTATGGGAAAATAAATGGGCCTTTTCTAAACAATTCCTTCACAGGTAAGATTCTGCGAGATGGGAAAAAAGTTGAATCTTGTAAGCCCATTCTTAAAGCAGAATACAAGACCTGTAAAAACAGGTAGGTACTCTTCTTGATCACGGAGGCAGCTATGATCCTGAAAAAGGGCCTTGTACCTGCTGAAGTGAGGGCACTTATGTGATTAGATTCACTTTTTTTCTGCCTCTCTCAACTGTGAACATGTACAGTTCTGTTAATCGATGTGACAGTTTCTGCTTATACCTATAAAGGATCTATAAGAAAAACTGAGAGCAGGAAAAGTTTTTGGTTCCTTTTAAGTGTTTCAGGGAAGCATATAGAGATTGACTTCACACACTGGAAATCAGATGTAATTTATTTATCCTTTGTTTATTGAATAAGGCATATATTATTGAAATCAGTAGGGGGGAGAGAGATACTGTTTAAAGGAACTTCTTGCCTGTAGTAAGTGAGCAATGCATTTGTGATGCAGGAGTTCAGTACGTAGTGATCATCTGTACTGTAAGAGAGCCCACCTCCTTCAGCTTTTGCCATTACTTCTGGATTCGACAAGCAACTGAAGTTATTGTTTGGGTTGGCCAAAGCTAAGGAAACAGTGAAAGCTGCACAAATGACTACTTTAAACTTCACAGTTATAAGAAAAAAATTTGATAATCTCATGAATCTTAGAAAGATCACTTAGAAAGATTATTAGTTTTAATTACAATTTGGATATAATCTGTTCATTTCAACTTGCAAAAATTGCAGTTTCAAAGTCAATGAAAAGGTGTGAACTATAATTACTGTATTTTATTTTTTTAATATAGTGACCCTTTTATCATTTTTTCTGGTGGACTTTCTTATGATAAACCTTGGCGAAGGCCAGGTCTGACAATCATGCATGGAAAAGCAATTACAGTGCTTGAGATGGATCACCCTGTGGTTGACTTTTTAACTCTTTGTGAAACTCCATATCCAAATGGTAAGTATGTGTAACAAGTTTAAATAATAAATAAAACAACAAACAAAGAATAATAACTGAATTGCATAACATTGTGCATGAAAAATTCCATAATCCATAATCCTTTTATTAGGCCAATTGAAATTTTGTAACAGTTTCAAGCTTTGCTTTTTTAAAAAAAAAAAATCCTTCATGAGATAGATGTTTAAAAACCAGGAAAGAAAACAGTGAAGCAGGGAGAGGCTGATTAAGGGTTTAAAAAAATGGAAAAGCTGGCAATAATTATAAAAATTCAGTTGAGTTAATTAAGGTACTGGCTCTGTGTATTTTTTAATATTACAGTATTAAGTATTTTGAAACAGAGATAAAAACTAACAAGAACTAATTTAAAGTAGAGGAAAGAAAGAAGGAAAAAAAGAAAGCAAAGAAAGAGCCAAAAGTGAAAAAAAGAAAAGAAATAGAAAGAAATTTTCTTTACAGCAATTATAAGTACAAATATAAAATTATTACTTTTTTTGTTACAAAAACGCTCTTTTTTTCTGTTATCCATTTTTTTCTAATCATCACAATATAAACCATAAATTCAGTTATTTCTGTTTCACCCAAAAAGTCTATAAGGAATTTCCAGTCAACAATAAATGCAGGCATGGTCTTTTCTCTAATTAAACCATCTCTGCAAGTTTCGTCATCTTCACCAACCATTCCTCCATTGTGCCAGATCTTTCCATGTTTCTGCATATGATAATATATAAAAACAAAGTTCTATGACTTTTTCCCAACTCTTTAGTTCTATGACTTTTTCCCAACTATTTATCTATCACTCAAAAAAAAAAGAAAATTCTCTATTTCTGTGGATTTACTGCAATTTTAAGAGCTAATCTGATAGCAACATGTTGTCATCCGCAAAGAATCAGGACCATACATTAAGTTCCAGTTAAGAAGGTTCATTGCTCAAGCCTGTACACAAGAATCTAGTCAACTGTCAACACTAAACTGGCACTAGATGAGAGTTAATAAAATTCAAAAGGGGGCTGTACTTGGATTATTTATGGGAACCAGACTGATTCCTTTCTTGACTCTGCTCCAAGTTCTGCCTCTCAATCTCCTACATCACCCTCCCCTCCAACCTGCTTTCCCCCCCCTGCCACTTCCATGGATTGTTCAGAGACATCTTTCCCTTCCTGCATGGGCTCTTCAGAATCTGAGTTCTCATGGTAACTTGATAGGCAGTGAAGCAATTTCTAAAGAATCTTCCAGGTGGTGGTTGCTGGAAAACATGAAAAGCTTAGTAGGTCCCTCCACCGTTACCTTCAGGGCTTGAAGGGCAGAAGTGAAAGGCTCAGCATAATCAGGTGCCCTGCCTGCCTCTGGATGTGCCGACAGAGGTTGGTTAAGGTTGAGTCCTTGAGTAGCACAGGAGCTTGGTCATTTGTGGCTCCTCAGGGAAACAGTGGAATTGCCAAACTAACTCAGGAGCAGGGACCTATCTTGCATTCTCTCAAGAGAGTTCAGATTTTGAGCAGCCTTTCCAGTAAATTAAATACTGCATACCTTTGCTCTTTCACCTAGAATACAGAATGGAATGCAAAATAACAGAGTTGGAAGGGTCTTTGAAGGGACTTCTACCATGTTTCCCTGAAAATAAGATCCACCCTGAAAATAAGCCCTAGCCTGATTTTGGGGGTGGGCCTAATATAAGCCCTACCCCAAAAATAAGCCCAGGGGGGTGGAGATGGCCAGCGAGCGCATGGGGGCTGATGGTGTCCGCCAGCAGCAGCAGCCCGCTGGCCCCTTAGTGCAGCACAGGTAAGTCCAAGCACGGAGGGAGAGGCGGGGGGAGGCAGGCGATCCGGATGCGCCACACACTTTTTGCCCAAAGGGAAACTGGAAGCTTTGTCTGCTTGCAAATAGGGCACTTGGAAACAGAGCAAATCACTCGGTTTCCAAGCACCCCATTTGCAAGCAGACCAAGCTTCCAGTCTCCCTCTAGGCAAAAAGTGTTTGAGCGCCTATGGGCGCTTGGGGCAGCTCCACCCCCTCGCCCATGTGCCTTGCCTCTTGGCAGCCATACAGTCTGCCGCGAGCAGCCACAGAAGTGGGCCAGGGGCCACGCAGCCTGCTGAATGGGGCTGTTGGTGCCGCTGTCACAAGGCATGGCATATATCAGGGGAAAAATAAGACATCCCCCCAAAATAAGACCTACTGCCTCTTTTGGAGGAAAAAAAATATATAAGACCGGGTCTCATTTTTGGGAAAAGACAGTAGTTCAACTCCATGCTCAAGCATAAGACCCTAGAGTCCTTTCTTCTACTTCATATTCTGGTTTTCCATCCATGATCACTGTCTCTTTCAGCTATCAGTGACCCTTTCTGTCAATGGGCATGCACAGATTCTCATACAACTGCTTTGCCTGTTCTCGCTGCTGCTTCAATAGGGTTTGGGCAGCAATTTCATTTTATAAAAAATCCTGCATTTGTTCAGAACAATGGTTGTATGGTTCTTATTTAATAATCTAATTTGTGTTTATTTGTATGTAGAAATTCAAGAACCCTATGCTGTTGTTGTACTATTGGAAAAAGATCTAATTGTTGTTGATCTGACTCAAAGCCAGTAAGTATAATTCCATATGGTGTTAACAATAATTCCTGGGAGAGAAGCATAGATTTGCTATTGAGTTTGGAAATATAAAGTAATATGACAAACCAAAGCCAACATGTTTTCAAAACAAACAACTTCACTATTCATTGATACTATGATCAATATTTTAGATATCTTTAGCTGTCTGTTTCTTTGTTAAACATATCCTTCCAAAATTATGGACTCTAGTAAATTATCTAATAAAGATTATAGCTTTAAAAGATACTTCGCCGTTCCCCTATTTTTCTGTGTTCACTAATTTTAATCACCATGCCTTAATTTTATAAAAGCTATTTCAGAATCACTTATTTTATAGATCCACTAATGGAACCAGTGATCAATTTGCATAAAGCAGGTACTTTGCAAAGCAAACCAATCAACAATGTCTCAACAATACAGTTCATATAATTGTATACTAAAATACAATTGTGGAGTCTTTGGTACTAAGTTTGGTTGTTTGCCTGCAGACGTTTGTTACCAAAATAGGTAGCATCTTAAGTGTTGTACTTCATACTGCATCTTGCAGGAAAGTCTAGAAGCAAACAACTAGCTCAGAGAGCACCAAGGACTCTATCATTCAACCTTGAGCTACATATATTATCTTCTATTGGTGCTAAAGTAAAAAGCAAGAAGATAAATTTATCTACATTGTGCCATACTCAAACCCAATCAAAGATTATTTTTTCATTCCCTTTTCTCTATGATAACCTAATGACAAGGTCAAAAGTTTCATATATTTTTTTAGGGGAGGCAGTTGAGCGCATCAAGCATAAATATTCCAGAGGAAGTCTTTACCCAAAATGCCTTGTTTATAAAATGTAACGGGAGGGAGAGTTTTGCGAACTTTTTCAGATCTTCCTTTTGCATTTTTTCTTAGTACAAAGGAAAGAAAATGGAATCAATGGGCAGTACTATTTGATTAGTCCATCCAATCAAAGATCTAATCTATTAAGATAAAGGAATAACCAGCCATGTTGCCTTCTTTCTCTCTCCACTTCACTGATTATTTATCTTTTGTTGCTTTTTTGCAATACATGAAGTAGCTAAGAGTTTTATTTTTTATTAGACTCTGAGGATATTTGGAAATGCTATTCATTAAAGCAGCTCACCTTTTTCCAGACCTCCATGTGGGGTCTGTTTTAAGAAACTTCACCTGGAAACCTGAAAAAATCCAGGCTACTTAACTTCATAAGAAAGTGTTTTCTAGATGACTTTTTAAATTGTACACAGCCCTACACTTTAGGGTGAGGCATATTTGTACTGCCACTTGTAAGTCAGTTTAACTTTCATCACCTGCAACAAATAAACATTAGGATCATAATTATACAGTAGTGTTGATTTATTATATACAGTAGTGGCCAAAATTGTGGAAATCTTTTGGGAAAAGTGTACATTTGAGGTTTGATGGCTAATAACACCACATGTGTTTGGAGTAGTACCATAAAATTATATATCAATGGAAAGATAATTTAATCAGGAATGTAATGCAACAAAGTTTGTTCAATTATCTGTATTCTATGAAAAGTTATAGCCAAATAACCAGAAAAAGGAAGCACAACTTGCTTAGATTGATATCAGGCAGCTTTCCTTTATCTGATTGTAGCCAATGAGCATGAGTGTTTAAAGGGCCAATCAGGTGTCATCTTATTTTGGCAATGATCCAATAAGATCACAATAGGATTCAGTTATTAATGTCATGTATTGAAGCTGAGAGGAGGAGATTTGTCAGTGTGTTATGTGATCGCTATCAAGTTGATTGGGTTTTTTTGTGTTCTTTCATTTAGTGAGCTTGTAAAACATAATAAAATTAAAGTAATGGTGCAAAGAGTTGACTGGTTACCCAGAAAGCGATGTAAAATAGTATTATTAAATGAACAAGGTTACAGTTATAAAGAAATTAAAAGAAAAATTGGGGGAAACTTAACCAAGGGTGGCATTTCTAAGTTTTTGAAGAGGTATTAGGAGACTCAGTCACTACAAAACCACACTGGTAAAGGCAGGAAAAGGTGAACAACAGCAAGTGATGATAGAAAAATTAAGAGAATGTGCCTACGTGACAGAAGAAAAACATCTGGGTGCATATGAGATGAAATGGCGCAATGCAATGTGAAGTTGAATGCAAGGACTGTTCGGTGCAGACTGCAGGAATTTGGGCATTCAATCTCTAGCAATAGTTAAGCAGATTGATTATCTTTCATTGAGTGATGCCATAGCAAGAGATGAACTGATTTAATCTTACAATTCTTTTGTAAGATTCTCTAAAAGCGGCATCTGCAATCTAAAATGCCATATTCACCAACACAGTGAGACAACGAAATAACTGAAGCATCCATAAAAATCATGATTCTCCAAGACACAGGTATCAAACTCGATCATCTCACGTGATGTATCGTGACATATTGCAACCTTTTTGCCATTGCGGAACTGGGTTGGGCATAGCCTGCATGTGACGCATTTGGCCCACGGGCCACTAGTTTGACACCCCTGCTCTAAGAGATTAAGTGAAAGGATTTGAGCCCCATTTATCTGGTTGAGTTAGGAGAGCTATAAAAGCCTGGGAGAAGATCCAGTAGAAGTTGGGAGCTCCATCCTGGACTGTATTTGTATGTTTATTGTTCCTTGGTGATTGTATTCTTCTTTATAATTGTTCTCAGTTATTGTTTTTCTACTATTATTGATTTGCCCTTTGTTAAATTGTGTTACTCTTTTCATTAGTATTAGAAGGAATGTAGGCTGCTCAGAATTTCTTTGGCTGGAATGGTATATAAGCCCCAATAAAGAACACTTAAATTATTAGTATGTAGTCATCTTAATCTAATTGGCATACAAATAGTCTTAATTTTTATCTCACTGTCTACATTTGTGTCAAGAATTTTTTAAAAATTGTGTGTCTGTGTATATACTCGGTAATATGTTCCTTTTCAAATAATTAATATATTAAGTAATTTTGTCTTTAAGGGGTATGCTAATAAATGTTTTTTTCATTTAGTTTTCCCATATTTGAAAATCCTTATCCCATGGATATTCACGATTCACCTGTTACCTGCACAGAATATTTTGCTGATTGTCCTCCAGATTTGATTCCTGTGCTATATTCTGTAGGTGCAAAACATAAGAAGCAAGGATATAGCAATAAGGTAAAGGATAAAAAAGGGAAAGTGTTATGAAGCAGCACTAATTAAAACAGATTGCTAGTTTTCTTGGTAATGTTTCATTGTTCTTTGCCTCTAGTATTTATGATATTTTGTTAGGGATACTGTGTCTTAACAGACTGTCTCATGTTGGGCCTGTCCTGTCCCCATGTGCAGGTTCCTGCCCTCTTTCTCCCTCTCCCTCTGTCCCTGTCCCTTGTTTCTGAGAAGCCCTTGCTCTTTCTCTAAGAGACAAGAACAGAAATAGAGATGGTGAGTAGAGGTGTCACTTCCAACTTCTTGTTACTCTTGTTACAAGAGAATCAGGTTGTTATTAATCAGCCTAATTTTTGAATCCCCAGCACTTTAAAAAATGTCAAACGTACCCAAGACCCCAAATTTGCCTACCTTTGTCATATCTTATGTAGAAACAAATTATAGCTGATTGTTGATACTCAGCTACCATAAACGGGAGGCAGGGATTTCTAGTTCAGGGGTTGAATTTGAATCAAATGGGGAAACAAGCAGCTGTGAATCATACAAAAACGAATGTTTTCTAAATGACTAATTCAGAGTTCAGACTGAATCTGTTGGTTGGAATACATCTCTGCATGTAGTTTAGGGTGCCTGAGTTCTGAATTCTATCTGAAATAATATTACAATCACAGAAGATGGAATTCCAGGTTTCCTAATATTGAATCAGATTCTGTGAGCTTGCAGCGCCTATAATAGTGAGGGCTAAACATTTATTTTTGCTTTAAATACAATTGATTTCCTTAGATAATTTTTACTCTATTTTACTCATACACCAAAAGGGGAGGAAACACCATGGTTAAACATAATATAAAACAACCCAGTAATTAGCTATTAAGTGTTTTTCTTAAGATTTTGTATCACCATGTAAATACAAAAGATAATACTTTTGTGAGTATTACATTGTCATTGAATCTATAATGAAGTAGCAAAAACATGTTATTGCAATACTTTAGACAGAGACAGATAGACAGACAGATATAAAAATTAATATTTTTTTTTAGGAGTGGCCTATCACTGGTGGAGTATGGAACCTAGGATCACAAACATATCCTGAGATTATTATTACAGGGTAAGGAAAGTGCTATTATAAGATACTGGCTGTTGGAAATAGTTGTAGGTTTGTTATTTGTTGTTTAAAAATTTACTCCATCTTTCTTCACCATGTATCCTTAAGGTAAATAACACCAAATATAAAAGAAAGCAAGTTAAAAGGTAAAAAATTACTCCAAATCAAAAGGCATGACTGAAAAGTCCAGTTGGAAATTAATAAACAAATATCTAGACAGTCCTGAGAATTCATAAGGACCTTGTTCCAATTTGCCTTTGAAATATAAGTGATATTCCAACAGAGAATTGGGTGACTTCGTTAATAATACCATTGTTGTTCCTCTTAGTCTGTTGTAAGGAAAACTGAGGGTGAAACTAGAAGTAGATTCAAGAAAACACAAGTCCAAGTGAGATAAGCTCAGAACTCTTCAAACCCCTAGAGCTGTGATAGCAATAGAGAAAAATGTCTCCTAGTATTATATTTCTCCTTGGGATAAAAATAATTTTACAACAGAATGCCCCTCATGGTAAGTTAGAACTATAGATAGCTTTCTGTGACAGTTTTTCAGAATTTGCACTTAGTAAATTGTTAACATCTGCTCTGATACTCTCTCCATCACTGCATGAGAATTTTAAAGATATCAATGTCCTCACCTGAGAAAAAAATGGGACAAATTGTAGTTTTTGATATTCAAGAATATTGATAGGACCCATGGTTCTGTATTCTTGTCTTCCTCACCCATCCCATGTTGCTAATATCAGAGAGCAAAAAGAAATGTTTGGCCTATTTATTTTAAGGAGGGTGTTGTTCAGGTTTCTTTAAAAGGAAAAGCACTGAATCCATTAAAAAAAATCTTTTTGTTATTTTTGATGCAGTGTCATCTTTTGGCCAGGGGAGAGCTGAGAGTGTCAAACAGTCTGTACATGAATATTTTTTTATGATACACCATCCCAGACAAATGGATGTCCAATCTTTTCTTGAAAACCTCCAGCAATTGAACATGCACAATTCTGGGAGGCAAGTGTTCCATTGGTTAATTGTTCTCACTGTCAGGAAATTTCTCCTTAGTTCCAGGTTGCTTCTCTCTTTAACAAGCTTCTACTCATTCTTGTCCTGCCCTCAGGTCTTTGGAAAACAGCTATCATGCCACCCCCCTAATCCTTGTCTTCATTAGGGTAGACCTACCTAGTTCCCTTAACCATTTATCATATGTAGAGAGAGTCCATTCTGAGGAGCTTGCCCTGTTATCAGATTATTATCTAGACTGTGGCTCTTCCTCCTGTTTCTGAAGAGTATTCTCACATCCCATTACATCTAATTAGAAGCTAAACGGAAAAGAGTCTAGATAATCTATAAGGTCTCCTGCCTTGGCATGAGGTTGGAATAGAAGACCTCCAAGGTCCCTTCCAGCCATATGATTCTATGTTTCTAAAGGCAAGGATGGGGAGAAGTTCTGTGAGATTTGCAAGATTCTGTTACTGTAACATTATAATAAAGACAGTATGAATAAAGTCATAGTTTTGGTTTTCCCTCTGGGGTTATTATATTTCTCCAATAAAATATTTTTTTTAAAAAAAATCTCATCTGCTTACCTTCTATTAAACACAAACTTGCATGCCACTTCCCAAATTTTGTTCAGTGTCTAATTTTTTAACCAGAATTGTACTATTTTCCTAGGCATATTTAATACACTTATTTAGAAGCCAATATGGGTTTGTCAAAAACAGATCATGCCAGACAAACCTTAGTGCATTGTTTGACAAAATGACTAAATTAGTGGAACAGCAAAATGCTGTAGATGTAGTATACTTGGACTTCAGTAAGGCACTTGACAAAGTAGACTACAGCCCACTTCTTGGTAAGATAGAAAAAGTATCACCACCAGATGAATTTATAACTGGCTGACTGGCTGACTACTGCACTCAGCATGTAGTCCTCAATGAAACTATATCCACATGGAGGAAAGTATGCAGTGGGGTACCCCAAGTTTCAGTCTTGGGCCCAGTACTCTTTAACTACTTCATAAATGATTTAGATGAGGGGATAGAAGGGGGACTCCTCAAATTTGCAGACAAGTTGGGGAAAATAGCCAACACTTTAGAAGATAGGCTCAAGATTACAGAAGGATCTTGACTGAGTTGAACACTGAGCTCTATCCCCCCAAAAATGCAATTCAGTGCTTAGAAAAGGAAGATTTTACACTTAGGCAAGAAAAACCAAATGCACAAGTATAGAATAGGAAGTTCTTGGCTCAACAGAAGTAACTGTGAGAGGGATCTAGAAGTTCTAGTGGACAACCACTAGAGCCAGCAGTGTACTGCGGCTGACAAAAAAGCCAATGTGGTCCTAGGCTGCATCAACAGAAGAATAGTATCAAGATCACATGAAGTGTTAGTACCTCTTGATACTGCTTTGGTAGACCACACTTGGAATACCTCATCCAGTTCGGTCACCACGATACAAAAAAGATGTTGAGGCTCTAGAAAGAGAGCAGAGAAGAGCAACAAAGATGATTAGGGGTCTGAGGCTAAAACCTACAATGGACAATTGCAGGAACTGTAACTGTAATCAGTGGAATGGCTTGCCCCAGAAGTTATGGGTGCTCCATCACTGGAGGTTTTTAAGGATAACCATTTGTCTGGAATGGTACAGAGTTTTCTGTTTGAGCAGAGGGTTGGACTAGAAGATCTCCAAAGTCCTTTCCAACTCTGTTGTTCTGTTAAACTAATCCCACTGGAATTTTTGTATTAATTCCTGCTATTCCTTTTGTATAGAGAAACAGATCAGCATTTTCCAGTTAACAAACATATAGTAGATGTAACTTTCATATACAAAATAAATAGGTCACATAGGAACTCCATAAGTAAATAATGTCCATATTTTAACATTTTTCTGGTTGCACCTTCTATACTTCACAATTTTTCAACATTCTCACAGCATTGCATGCTAGAATGATGTACTATATTTTTCTGTCATCCTGCATCTCTTATGTGCATTTTTCTTTAATTCAACCACTACTTTTACACCATCCCATCAAATATCCTTTCTCATACTTGTTTTTGTCATATAATATTTTTACACTTCTCTGGCACTTTATAATATAGTTCTTACTTTTGTTTTAAGCAACTCCCACATTCTCTTTTCTTCCAAGCAGATACTCACTAAAGAAGAACAGTTTTAATTAATGTTTAGGTCTCCAAATGTAGCTACTCATTGTAACAAAATAAGATACCTCCTGTATTGTATTAATTCACAGTGTTGTACAGTTTTATCATTATTAATTATGCAAATTATCACTTCACTGTAACTCTACCAAGGATTTCTACATCTATACACTCCTAAAACAACCTATAGGACATGAATTTATACTTTTTATATACATTTATACTTTTTAATATACATGTTAGCCCTTTTATTCATATTTCAACCTGGACTTTTTCTTCCCCTATTTAATTCTACTCCACAAGAAACTGTTAGAAACCTTCAGTCCAATATATTACATCCTTCTCATTTTTCTTAGTTTCATAAACCCAATCTATCACTTTTTAAAATTTGTATTCGCCCTTTATTCCTCTTACAGTCTAAATTATGTTTTACATATGTCACGGTCATTACAATATTAAATGGGCCTATAGATATTGAATTCCACTCCCTAATGATTTGATAAATTAAGGCTTTCACATAACACATTTAGTAACATACATAAGGTATGTATTAGGTTACCAGCCTTTGTTACACTCATACCACATGTATCTTTTCAAGAACAGGAGACTTGCCTATTTGAAATTAAGTCTTAGGTCTGAAGAAGAAAGATATACGGTAACTTTGGAATGCTCTTTGATGTGATCCTCTTTCTGCAGTGGTTAAGTCTGCTTTTGTTAATAGAGGGGAAAAATCTGCTTGTGGAGACACTCATCTCTATGCAGAGTTGTTGTGGTGGTGAAAATAGAAAGAGGAAGGAGAATTCCATATGTTTGATACCTTGAGTTTTTTATAAAGTAACAAAGGCAGGATAAAAATCTAATAATAAATAAATAAATATTGGCTTTCAGTAGGTTACAGCAAAAATCATTTGCAAAGATATGCATGCGACCAATGTTTGAAAAAGCCACTTGAGGACAGAATCCATTAAAGTAGCTGGAGCTTTCTTCATCCACCCAAAACCTGGCTGCTCCTTATCATACTTCTATTTAATTTTAGCTAGTGTAAGAAATCTTTCTTCTACAGTACATTTCAGATGAGTTATGCGGCCAATTCTAGTGTCAATCTTCTTATGAGAAACTACAGAGAAGATAAATGAACAGCACCTACATTAATCAAATCCTGATATGCTTCATTCCTTAACAAAACTAGGACTTCCTTCATGGTTCTGACAGGCAAGGAGAGAAGAAAACCCGATCAAGTGTCCCCAATGACTATAGATGGCAGTTGAGATTTGTCACCTGTGCTCTTTTATCACAGGAACTGAAACCAAGTTCAGTCTTGGTAGAAGTATATGATGATGATAATGTTATTCTACCTTGTTTTAATTGGCTTTTACTATATTCTTTTAAGTCATGCAGACGGATCAGTAAAATTTTGGGATGCTTCTGCCAGTAAGTTTTTTAATTTATTTCTGCATTATAAATGTATGTTACAGATTTGGAAATGAGTGAATTAATTGCAGTTATTGAATCTGTTACTCAAAATACATGAAATTGGTACAATGTAATGAATTCCTGACAAGCTGTAAAATATTATTTAAAAGGGAAAAATTGTAGCAGAGTGTGAATGAGTAGAAATGAATAAAAGTCAAAACTGTATGCCTGCAAAGACACTAGAAATCTAACAGTAGTTAGATTTCTAGTATGGTTTAGTCTTCATGCGATCTTTTTTCTTACTCCGCAATTGATCATTAAGAGACTTCCACTTCTGTTTAATTGCATATTCAAATGATTAATGAGCAATTGAAATGATTGAAAGAAGACTGGAGTACAGTACATAGAATGTAGTCTGTTTTTCTCATTTAAAGCAGGGTGCTGCACAAAATGAAGCCCCTTGAGTCATAAGGAATCTCTTTCCCTTTTCCTGCTGCCCATCAGAAACAGATTGCTGATTATATGCTACAATATAATATCTGAAAAATGCAAAGGAAGGTTCAGTATTCTTTTGACAGTACAGGATGTTTATCACTGAAGTTTGTCCTTTTTTTAAGGTGTTTTTTTTGGGGGGGGGGGCAAGCACTAAATACCAGACTTTTTACAGTGTGCCTGTGCTTTCGATCAGAGGGCCACAAATAGTGAGGATCCCAAAATAGTGAAGATAATAGAAAATACAGATTGTAACAATACAATTTCTTTCCACTTTCCATTTTAACATCAAAGCAATATAACAGATCATTTCAATTTTTTCTAGTCACACTGCAAATGCTGTACAAATTAAAAACTTCAAAAATATTTGAAAAACGGAAGTTGGAAGGCAAGCCAGCAATAGATATGATAGAAGAGGATCCTTGTGCAATCCAGTTAATGTACTGGTGTCCTGAAAGTAGAATATTTTGCATAGCTGGTGTCTCTGCATATGTTATTGTTTATAGATTCAGCAAACATGAAGTTAATACTGAAATATTGGTAAGTTTGTATGAGTGTTGCTTATACACTGATTTGCTTACATTAATATACCAAAAGTTTCCCTTTAATCAATTATAGTTATCAATAAACATGGCTATGTTTACCATGCAGTGATTATAGTTGAAACCTGAATATGCAGCTAGCTATTATGGCTTTCCTATATATTTTAAACATTCAAAAAAAGCTGTAATAAGCATACTTTTGAGGATGACTTGCATGGGAAGAATGTCAAAACAGACTTTTTTGGAATCAGCAGGTTATTTTGATGCTACAAAATTAATATTTTCCAACTACAAACTGAATTTGTTAAAACAAAACATTTTATTGAATGCTCCCATTCTGACAGTCAGTTTTTATTCTTCTGGATCTTTCTCTCAGAAGAACTGTTTGGTCTTTGGTGCTCTCTGAGCTTGGTGGTTTTCTTGTAAATGTTTCATTACCAAACTAAGTAACATCATTAGTGCAGGTGCAAACATGGAAGAATATGTGTGCAAGGAAAATACCAAGCTCAGAAGACCACTAAGGACCCCACAGTTCAACTCTGAGCTTCAAATATTCTCTTCTATTGGTCTCAGAAGAACTTCTAACTGTCTTTCCTCCTCATAACCCATGCTTTTAAATCAAGAGAATTTGCAGTCTTGAATTTGTAGTTTATGAATTTGCTTTATTGCAATTACTTTTCTGCAGTTCTGTGGAATTCCTCACAAACAGCTCCAGAAAAAGTTGGAGGTTTGATAGCCTATGCCTTCCTCCATAGGGAGACCTAGCGGTTCTTTTGAATCAGCCAAATTCCTAGCCTGCCATCTTGATCTCAAATGTCTAAAGGAACCAAATACGTTTTAGAGTCTAAGTCCTTGAAAGGGTAAGGGATGCCTTGGATATCATAGCTCACACTTTTAGTGGTCTACTGAGACTTATTATTTATTTAGAAATTTTATATAGCCATGGACCAAAGAACCCCAAACCCAGAGCCACTGGGTCTTGCCAGGTTTCAGTTTCAACCTGTTGCTCCCTATCCAGCCCCTAACAGCCTCCAGGCACTGCGAAAGGGAGGTCATGACATCACTTAACTCATCACTTATATGGAGAAATTTGCAAGTCTACCTTGCAGGTCTTCAGTCCACATCATCATAAGATAGATTGGGAAACAAATTCTGGGAAAGTACTCTTTCTTAATGTCTAGGTTCCTATTGCTCATAGAAATCTCTAAGAAGCTGGAATCACCTTCATATTTAGATGAGAACAGAAAAATATATTCTCTGTTTCCAGGAATCTAGACCACAAGATTAATATGGTACAGTAGGAAGGCACATTTAGGATACCTTCTTCCTCTGATTAGTTTTTTTAAATTCTGCTTTACAATTGACAGTCATTATAATTTTGATGGATTCCTTCATACTTAGCCTAGTTTGGGAAGTTTGCAGTTTCCTGGCATGTAGATGACATTCAGGAATACTGCGAAAGCAGATTGGCTTCACAATATTGAATCTTTTAACTATATTTCTAAATCTAATCTGAGTTTTAATTTTTTAAAGTCTTTAGAGGTGAAGCTCCAGAATGAGATAGAAGATACCATTAGTCCTGAAGCAGAAATTATGACTTCATTTGCTGATGCCTCTTCCAATTTTTCATCTTTAAAAGACCTCTCAGGCAATTGCAATACTTCATCTGAACAAACAATGGATTGTAGTCCATTTCTCAGGTAAAGAATGTAGATTAATTTAAATTGTTTTTGTTCTCTGTTCTTTTTCAACATTTATAACAAAATTTCTTCAACATTTATATTTTTCTGCTAAGATTGTGAAGTATCATGGATTTTGATGTTGTTGTTGTTGTTGTTAATTGCGAAGTCATGTCCGACCCATCGCGACCCCATGGACAATGTTCCTCCAGGCCTTCCTGTCCTCTACCATCTTCTGGATTCCATTTAAGCTCTCGCCTACTGCTTCAATGACTCCATCCAGCCACCTCATTCTGTGTCGTCCCCTTCTTCTATTGCCCTCAATCTTTCCCAGCATTAGGCTCTTCTCCAGTGAGTCCTTCCTTCTCATTAGGTGGCCAAAGTACTTGAGTTTCAACTTCAGGATCTGGCCTTCTAAAAAGCAGTCAGGGTTGATCTCCTCTAGGACTGACCGGTTTGATCGCCTTGCAGTCCAAGGGACTCGCAAGAGTCTTCTCCATCACCATAGTTCAAAGGCCTCAATTCTTTGTATGGATTTTGATAGCTCTGTATAAATAGTATCTCAAGAATTATTTTCTGTTTTTGTACTAAGAAATGGTTACAGAATGTTCAAATAAGTGTAGTTGCTCACCATTGTGCTATTTCTTTATTAAGACATAGAAACCATTCCTCTCATTTGAGCCTGAGCTCAGCACGGCTGATTTAGTAGCTACCAATAACCATGTAGTACAATAGATTCCTATCATATCTAGGCTGGCACATCCCTCCATATTTGTTTTGGCTAAGTCTCTAAGCCCATTGTTTGAAGTTGCTGTTCCTCTGAGACCTAATGTTATGTTGATATTGAATATCGGAGTAGAAGGTGTTTGAATGTTTAATGTCCCAAAAGTAAAAGAATGCTTGAGTCGGGGGATGAAAAAGGAAGGGCAAGCTGTGTTCTCCAAACCACCAGCCCTTCTTCCTCCTCCTCCTCTTAAGGAGACTTTCATGACTTCTCACCTATGCTAGATTCTCACACACTGATGAAGCCCAGCTGGCCAAATATCCTTTGATGTCTTTATAAATAACATAAACAAGTTGGTCAAGAGAATGCTTATAAACTATTCAGTATATAAAATGAGGGGAATAGCTAATCTTTAGAAATCAGAAACAAAATTTCCAAAGAATTTGGATAGTTTAGAGAAATGAAATGAAGCTAACAAAATTGGGACAGCTCCAGAATGGGATAAGGATAGAGACAGGAGAGAACTTAGCACTTTCTCATATAGTCGCAGAATTTTGTCATGTTATATTTTAGGCCCTGTATTAATAAAACATTATAATTTATAGCAATAAATCACTATTATTCTTCCATTCCAATGCAGTGACTGAGTTTTTTTGAGAAGAACTGAATTTCTTTATCTGTATTTAGTGCCACACAGTTAAGCAACCGCGAACAGCATTAAATGATTATTCTTGTTGCAAAGTGAAGAGTGTCCTACTCTTCAGTTCAACCCCATGAAACGTGTCAGGTGATGATAAAAAAATAGGGAGATGGAAGAACTTTAATCTTGCTCTTTTCCACAATGGAAGGGTGAGCTAGGATTATTCCAATAGCTCTTTAACATTTCTAATCGGGAGTTCCTGTAGATTGCATTCTTGCTTTATATGAAAAAACATCATAATTTTTTGTTACCCTTGCTTCAAGAATCAAATGAGACCTAATATGAAGATATAACACTGATTTGTTTTACTCAGAAGATACCACTGGAAACAATTGGGATAAGACAAGCAGTTGAGAGGAAGAAAACTTCAATCAATACTATTTACACACATTTATACATACTTACTGTTTCTCACCCACTCTTCCCCTTAGAAACTATACAGTTGCATTTTGACTCTATTTTTTCTCAAAGCCAGTTTTCTTATAAGTACAAGTGATTTCCAATTTGGTAATCAGATCACTTTGATAATTGTTTCTCCTCTTCTACTTAGTGTGAAGACTCGTGCTGTAAGAATGCCCCCTGGTTATCAAGCAGAACTTGTTATTCAATTGTTGTGTGTAGATGGTGAGCTTCCTCAACCAATAACCAGCCTAGCAGTGAATTCAGCCTATGGATTGTAAGTTATCCCCTTATATCTTCATTTGGGTTTGGTCAGTTTGGCTGGTTGGGAAGTGAGAAATCTGAGTCATCTTTAGAATGGAGATCTATCTGGAACCAGTAATAGAACCTGTTCCAGGGAGAGAAAAGCATATTCCAATCAGTTTGTCTTCTTTTGGTGGTTTGGAAGAAAATGGCAGAAAAGATGGGACCAAGATACAGATCCCTATTACTCCTTATGTAAGATCCAAATAAAAGTGCTATCAAAACAGCCTTTTGCAAAAAATAACCCATAACAATCAAAGATCTGGTGATTTTTGGTACTATCATAAACACAATATTTGGATCCTCATGAATGTTCCTGAGTTTTTCCTGGAAGCTGTCAAACCATGGAGGAAGAAACATTAGAGTTCTAAAAGCTGTTACAGCCTGTGTAGTTCAAATCAAGGCATGGATTTCACTTATTTTTTCCAATGGGGTCAGCCATCATAAATTACTTTTACTTTTAACATCATAAATTAATTACTTTTATCATGAATCAATACAAAATTTTCATAATCTCAAAATTGTTGGCATATCTATGAACAAAAACCAAGTATTCTGAGGAATGTATATTCATAGAATATGAATCCTTCATCCTTCCATCACCCTCACCATCCTGGCAGAACTGATGAAACCTCTCAGATGAGAAGCAAAATGTCTTCTTCTTCTTCTTCAAGGATAAAACAATCCAGTTGCCTTTTGAAAAAGCACCTTTGAGACAAATATGACCTGGATGACTGAGAATCTCCACAGACATTCGTGGACTATAGAATCATAGGGCTGGAAAGGACCTTGGAAGTCTTCTAGTCTAGAGGCCTCCAACCCATGGTCCGTGGCCTGGTACCAGGCTGCGGCCCATTGGGAACTGGACCATGCAAGTGGCAGGTGAGCATGTAAGCGTGCAAGTGTGCAAAGCTCAATTTGCACAAGCGGTGGGCGCACACTTGAAAGCATCCCCTCTCCCCACTGCTGCTGTTGGTACACAGAGCTAGAAAAGTTGGGGACCACTGTTCTATGCTTAAGGCAGGAGACCTTATACCATCCCTATGAAATGGTTGTCCAATCTATTCTTGAAAACCTCCAGTGATGGACCACCCACAACTCCAGGAGACAAGCTGTTCCACTGGATTAATTGTTCTCACTGTCAGGAAATTTCTTCTCAGTTCTAGGTTCTAGGTTGGATCTGTCTTTAAGAAGCTTCCACTCACTACTGCTTGTCTTGTCTTCTGGTGCTTTGGAGAATAAATTCTCTGTGACAGCCCTTCAAGTACAGGAAGACAGCTATCATGTGACCCTTATTTTAATGACCTTCATTGCATTGATTATTAGAGGATTATCTTCAAGGAAACAAACCTAAATAGCCTGCTGAGTTCATTAGTTTTCCATTATGATACAGTATATTTACTCATTTAAAAATGTCTTGTTACCTTTTACATACATTCAAATACATGTGATCATGGTGACAGTGTAGTTATCAAAATGCTACTAAATGTCTGCATCATAATGACACTCAAATCAAAAATCAAAACTCAAGCAGAATAATTCTAAATTATTTGTTTTATGTCTAGAAGGAAAATTACATATTGTTTATGCAACTATAGGTCTATATATTAGTTCCTTAATTAATTAACTTGCTAGTTAATTTCAGCTATTTATCTATATATGTACACCTTCAGTATGGTTATCAATAAGACTCTGCCATCTTCATAAGATTTAGGGATTAAAATTATCCATAAGAATTTTGCATGAAAGCTAAACAGGACTATTGGGGCTCTTTAAAGATTATATTATGTCATTGGGTTTTATAGACTAAAATTCAGTTTATCAGAAACAACTCTCTTTTGCTTGTTGTCTCACACTGTCTCAGTGTATACATACAGAGAAGTGTTGCTAAGTGATGTGGTCATTAAGTGAGTTGCAGTTAATTGTACTAGCTTTTTTGCTGCATTTGTTAAGTGAATCATCATAATTACTAAGGGAATCATGGGGCAATTAAATCCAGCTTTCCCCATTGACTTCGCTTGCTGGAAGATTGCAAATAGCAATCATGTGATCCTGGGACACTGCAACCATCATAAATGTGATCCAGTTGTCAAGCTCCAAAATCTGATCACGTGACTGCATACTCTGTTATGATCATAAGTGCGAGACTGTAATTTTGAATGATAGTTAAGGGAATGGTTGTATAGCAAGGACTACCTATAGTGTTATACACATTGTTAGGTCATTTGTGGGTTACCATTTACAGGTCTTGCCATGGAGATGCATGACATTAATGAGCAATTCTGTTTTCTCCATGCCCTTTTGTGGAATGAATTTTTTCCTGAAGTTAAAGCAAGCCCATTCCCAATTCCTTTTTGGGGACAAGTCAACACATTTTAGTATTCCAGGACTTTTAAAGCCATCCCTTTGGCATTTGTATTTTATTTTATATCTATAAGGATGTATATTGTACTTAATAAGCTATCCCAGCCATTAAGGAAATTGATAAAATATTTTTAAAAAATGTGATTCAAGGATAGGAAATTGCATACAACAAGAAGGTGGTAATATTTAGTCCTTGACATTCACATATATATATTGTCTTTCAGTTTAATATTAATTTGGTGTCAGAGAAAAAAATGCTGCTATTTATTATGTTTATCCTTCTACTAATTCTCCTTTGCTTGAGAGTATAACAATATTGTTGCCATGCATAGCCTACGTGAGGAAGAATTCTTCCTTGCTTGTGTTTCTGCCTGCCTCCCCTTTAGTATGATTTGGAATTAGAATACTATATATGAGGAAGGAAAATAATACTGCACATTTAAATTCCAGAAAGGCAATTTCTGATTTAATGTTAGGGAATGTACTAATTATATACTCATTATAATGTATTATAATATGGGAAGGTACTACTTTCATCAATGTACTAATTATAAGAAGCCCTACAAAGATTTCCTGAAAGAGAGGCTATTCAGATATCTGTTATGGATGCTTTAATTTAAACTTAATGCTCCTGCTCTGATGGGGTTGTATTGGTGAATAGGGATGCTTACATCTAGGGCATAATATTGAGATGGGTGGTGCTGTGGAGTTCACATACTGCTGGATTTTTCTTTCCCAAACTCCCTCTGAATTGCCACTATTAGACATCATTGTGGCATTTCCGTTTTAGGCCCAGTTAATTTCCACCTTATCTTAACTATGGTACAGAAGAGGATAAATTGGCTTTCATATAAGTGTGGGGGAATCAGGAAGATTCATTGTTCCTGAAAAACAGATATTCTGTCTCCTTTCTTTATGCCAGATGTTGCCCACCATTCCTAGGAGTCACTTTGAGATTGAATCATATAAACTCATGTGGCTGGAGCATTCAATATTTTATCTTTTTCCAAATTATCCCTTTTTCACCATCTGGTTACAATCTTTTCTGTGCCATTTTGATTGCTCTTGATAGTTTCTTAAAGTGTACAATGTTTTTCCGCATGAACTAGCAACTGTCCTTATTTCTTTCTGGTTGTACAGAGAGCAGATCTGAAGGATGGCCCATAAAACCTTAAGTATGTGTACCTCCTATCAAGAGGAGATTAGTAATTGCCTGAATAACCTGCTTGGAAAGACATACTTAAGCCTTCCAACTTCTGAAAAGCTGTAGGAGATCCTCCAGTGATCATGTGATATAACCCAAAGGAACATGGACTTCTTCTTTGGTTTACTTTAGGAGTTTTAGGACCAAATGTGGAAGTGGAAAGTCTCTCAGAGCCAAATTGTTCTCACTCCCATCCATACAAGCATACTTACAAAAAAGTGACCATAATGCCAAAATTTGGTTATATCACTGACGAATGTCAGCAGCCTGATCTCAGAGCAATAAAGATGACGTTCTAGGAACTATATGTCACTTGTAGGCTATGAGTTTAAGCCAGTTCTTCTTGACAAGCAGGCTCCCTTTTCAGTTTCTGTCATGAAACCAAAGATGAATGACCCATCATCTGATCTGGTTTTTAAAATGAGCTAAATTTAATTCATCTTATTTAGATGCCATCTGACTCCAGATTTCTCTGGGGCTCATAGTATAAGAACAATAAAAGACAACATGCATGATAAAAAAATCGACAAAGAAAAATAAAAATTAAAAACAAGGATTACCTTATATGAATGCCTCTTTGTTTAAAATCTATTCCAGTTTCAGTACTTGAAAGAGATAACTCTAAAATACTTAAACTGTATTTCTTTTCACAGAATTGCATTTGGAAACTGCAATGGTCTGGTTGTTGTAGATTTTATGCAGAAGACTAAACTGCTGAGCATAGGAAGCTTTGACCTCTATGGATCGAGTGATCCCTATCAGCGCCAACCTCGTTCTCCTCGCAGAAGCAAGCAGTTTAACGCAGGTAGCAAATACAGTGAAAATTAATTTGAATAATATTTCATTTTATGCTCTGCAATTTTGGGAATGTCTGTATTTAGAAAATATATGTTGACTAGTTAGGAAAATATATAAAGAGCAAAGCTATATGAAAAATTCTAGCAGGTGATTAGCCAAATATAATAAGAATAAGTGTCAACAGTCCGACTAGTGAACCCAACAAAAGGAATCCTCAAGACAAGTCCCAGCAGGCATAACTTTATTGGATACATCATCTCAGAACTGAAGAAGCGAAGCCAACTCTGAGATTTCCTGTGCAAAAGCTTGCTTAGTTAAACATTGGATTCCCTCTCCCCTCCCATCAGGTGTCCACGTTGCCCAATAGTAATATTTCTTTTTGTTATGGGAACAGTTCACTTCTCCATCGAGCACCTGCGGCAATGACCTTGGCATGGTGCAGGCTCTCACGGTCCATGTACGGCTTCTTGGCATTTCATTCCCTTCCCCCTTTTCTTTGGCAAGATGATGAAGCTAACAGGCATTGTAGCAATTCAATCTTGACATGTTGACCTCCCAAAAGAAGGGTATACCTGGAAAAACATTAAACACAAATTATCACCATTAATCATTAATACTCAATTAGGATTTTGGGCATTAAGGGTATTTATCATGGAATTTTCGTATTAATCGATCTGCGCTAACATTATGAGTGGCCACCCATTCCACATCTGCTAAGGGATATCCTTTCCACTGTACTAAATATTGCAGCTTCCCTTTAAAAAATTGTGAGTCCAGTATTCTCTTAATCTCGTAGTGTTCCTTCCCCTCCCCCCATAATTGGAGGAGGTGGCTCCTGTTCAGCTGGCCTTAAACTAGAGCCTTGAAATGGTTTTAAAAAACTACAATGGAACACCGGATGGGTCCAACTTAGACTTTCTGGCAATTTTAACACTATCGTAACTGGGCTTATAATCCAAATGATCAGGAAGGGCCCTATATGTTTAGAGCTTAGTTTCTTACATGGTTGTCTCAGCTTAAGATATTTGGTGGACAAGTACATCTTATCTCCAATGCTAAACTTCTTTTGGGGAGCTCTCTTCTGATCAGCCTGTCTCTTGTAAGACTCCCTGGCCTTATTTAGTGCTTTCTGTACATCTCCCCAAGTGGCTTTTAGGATCTCCATCCATTCATCTAGTGACACTGAGGAGGGAAGTTCTCTTGGAAGTCCTGGCATCAGTATGAATTCTACTGTAGCTATTTTAAATGGGGTGAACCCAGTGCTACTATGTACCAAGTTGTTATATGCCACTTCTGTGAAAGGCAGGAGCTCTGCCCAATTAGTTTGCTGATAGTTAACATAGCAGCGAAAATATTTCTCTATCAATGAGTTCGCCTTTTCAGCCACTCCGTTAGTACTCAGATGAAACCCTGAGCTAAGCCCTTGGGAAGAGCCTATTAATTTTAGGAACTCCTGCCAAAATTGCACACACACCCTGGTCAGAGATGATTCGTCTTGGAACTCCATGCAACCAGCTGCACGAACAACTTTGCCAATCTTCAGGCTGATGGAATCTTTGGGCATGCCACGAAGTGTGCTTGCTTCACAAATCAGTCGATTACAGCCAAATCACTGCACTCCCAGAGCTCTTGGGTAATTCCACAATAAAATCCCTGGTGATTTCTTCCCATGGAGCTTTAGGGTTGGCTACTGGCTGCAGCAGCCCCAGGGGCTTTCCTGTTCTGGGCTGCATTAACAGAGGGATAGAATCAAGATCATGTGAAGTGTTAATACCACTTTATAATGCCTTGGTAAAACCTCACTTGGAATACTCGGAACAACTTGCCTCCAGAAGTTGAGAATGTTTCAACACTGGAAGTTTTAAAGAAGAGATTGTCTAAAATGACAGGGGGTTGGGCTAGAAGACCTCCAAGGTCCCTTCTAACTCTTTTACTCTATTCTGTTCTGTGTCCATCGGACTTGCTTAGGATCCCCTAAGCTTCTTTGGGGTTTTCAGGGCCTCTAAATTCTTGTGTCTATCCACACTTCAAATGGGACTTTACTGCTGTCTAAAACTGTCTCCAAGTCAGTAGCGCACACTGCATAAGCCTCCTTTTCCCATACCTACCAACACGTCTTGGCGTCGGGCAGTTTCTGGGAGGAGTAGGTGCATGGTTGGAGCTTCCCCTCCTCATTCAATAAATAATAATAATAATAATAATAATAATAATAATAATAATAATAATAATTATTCTGAAGTAGGATGGCCCCCACTGCCACATTCCTTGCGTTGGCCTGGATCACAAATGGTTCCGCCAGGTTTGGGTGCCTAAGTTCTGCAGCAAAGAGCTGTTTAAGTTTCTCGAAAGCCGCTTGACATTCCATAGTCTAATTGAGCGATCAGCTCAGCTTCGGTTTCAGCCCTCCTCTCCCATTTTTAGCAGTTCAGTAATGGGCAAGGCTATTTGTGTGAATGAAGAGATGAATTGCCAGTAGAAGTTGTCAAAGCCCAGGAAGCTTTGCAGCTGCGTTCTGGTTCATGGGGCTTCCCATTCTAGTATTGCTTCCAGCTTCCCAGGATCCATCTCCACTTCTTCACTAGAAACACAATAGCCCAGGTAGTCCAGAATAATTTTGTGGAAGTTGCACTTGAATAGCTTGGTATAAAGCTTAACTTCCAAGAGTTTCCTCAGCACCTCTCTCACTAGCTTCTTGTGATCCTCTATCGTCTTGAAGTAGATGAGAATGTTGTCCAGGTATACCAGCAACCCCTTGTACAGGTGCTCATGCAGCACCTCATTAATCAGTTGCATGAACACAGTGGGTGTTCCCTGTAATCCAAAGGGCATCACCCAGAATTGGTAACATTTTAAGGGGCAATTAAAAGCCTCGTTGATCTTAGCTTGATAGTATGCTTCTTTCAAGTCCAGTTTGGTGAATACCTTCCCTTTGGACAGGTATTCCAGCATGTCCTTCATGAGGGGAGGGGGTATGTGTTTTCCATGCAAACCCCATTAAATCCCTGAAAATAAATGCACAGTCTCAAAGAGCCATCTTTTTTTTCTCCTTGAAAACCACCGGTGCTGCCATCCTAAATTTTGTTGGTTGGATAAAGCCCCTAGCCAAATTTTTATCCACGAACTTTCAGAGCTCTTCCATCTCCCTTGGAGTCATGGAGTACATCTTTGGTTTGGGAAGCTTTGTCCCAGACAGCAATTCAATTGCACAGTCTGAGGGACGGTGAGGGGGGACAGCGTCCAACTCCTGCTTGCTAAATATTTCCGCCAAATCTCTGTATTCCCTTGGGATGCTCGGCTCAGCTCTCTTGCTTTCTATTAGCGCTTTAACTGGCTCCACTCTCACTTTCTCAGCTGATGTCACCTGTTTAACCTTCGGCGGTTTCTCCATCCCTCCACTTTCTCAACTTTGCCCCTCAGGTGCCACTTGTTATTCCCCCCGTCAGTTGACGGATTCCATTTCTTCAGCCGTGACAGCCCATCTCTGCCATCTTTGGGGCTATGATAAACCAAATAGTCTCTTCATGGCTCCCTGCCTTTAGGCTCACTGGCTCCGTTAGCTAGGTTGCAGGCATATACCCCTGTGAGTAAACCATCCCCTTGCTCGAATTTCATGGGCTGTCTCAGTCTCGAGTCTTAGCTCCAACTTTTTCACCAACTGCAAACTGACTAAGCAGCAAGTGCATCCTTAGTCTAACAAGGCAGTAAAGCCCCCCCCCCTTGCTCCTGACTGGGGCACTAAAACCTCTACTTGGGCAGTCAATGGGGTGATGGCTCCACTTACCATTGGGTTGTCTTTCCCTTTGCTGTCACTGTCGTAGAAGACTGGACCAGGTTTGTGGGGGTGTGTGTCTGAATTTCTTCCCCTTCACTGGACAAAGGGGAGACCTCCATGACTTGTTGTGCTGCCCGAGTCTTCTCTTTTGTCATCTTCGGTGTTTTCTTCGACTTAGGCTGGCTCGAGGCTCTCAGCATCAATACAGGCTAGGGGGGCTAAGCATTTAGCAGCTCGATGGCCTTCCTTTCCGCATCAGAAGCAGGCCTCTGCAGGGCAATGCTGGCCCTCTCTAGCGGCTGACGGAAAGGTTCCTCCCCTTCTCTGAGTTGACAGGCAGGGGCCTCATCAGGGGCAGCTTTCTTGTGCTACCTGCTGCCTGTACTCCAGCAGGTCCAGCTCTACTCTGGTAGCCAACTGATACCATACGTGGAAGTCATCCAGGATCCCCTGGGGCAGGCAGTTGTGATACAGCTCCCTGTTTAATCCGCCTCAGAAGTGATAGACCAATAAGCAATCCGGCCACCCTCTTAGTCTCTCAGCCAGGCCGCGGAACTCCCGAATGTACTCAGCTACTGATCAACTCCCCTGCCTTATGGAATGGATTCCGCCCGGCGGGCCTGTGTGGGTTCTCCAAATCTGGCCTGGAGCCTCTCCAAGAAGGAGACCACATCTCCCAGTTCTGGAGCTCCCTCGTCAGGCAGTGCCACCACCCACTCAGCAGCTTCTTCCTCCGGGTTTGCAGTAATGGTCACAATGGCCCCCAGCAAGGAAATCTGCTTAATCCCAATCCAGGTGGTTCCACACCTGGTTTAAGAAGTAGGCAAGGTTCTCTGGCTGACCATCAAACATGGCTTTCAAAGGCAGGGGCTTGCGGTCGTCCCAGAGCAATATGTAACCTGGCATCACCCCCACAATCACTAAGAATTTTGGAATGTGTTAGGATATTATAACAGAATATTGAAAATCTGTCAAAACCCTTCTCTGTGTCACTTTATATTTAATATAATCAAGGTGCAGCTGTTTCGAGCTTCTTTCTCACACTTTGTACTTTTGTAGGACTTAGATATATTTTCTGTAATAATAATAACAACAACAACAACAACAACAACAACAACAACAACAATAATAATAATAATAATAATAATAATAATAATAATAATAATAATAATATTGCAATAGAGTTTGGCTTGGACAAATGTGCCACACTTACTATCAAACAAGGAAAAATAGTGAAAACTGAAGGAATCAAGATGCCCCACGAAAATAACATTAAGAGTCTGGATGAGAAAGATTACTACAAATACTTGGGTATCCTTCAAGCTGGGCAATTCCAGTCATTTAGATACACAGCTGGAATAGTGGACTGGACTCAAGCAGAACTAAAAGCAATGGATAGGAAGACCAGAAAAATAATGACAATGAATCATCCACGCAGTGACATTGACAGACTTTATCAAGGCAAATAGGTGGGCGTGGAATGCTGCAAGTACATCAGATGGTTGAAGAAGAAAAAATGGCTTTGGAAGAATATCTGAAGGACAGTGATGAAGATGCACTGAAATTAGTATATCAGGAAGGCTTACTGACTACTGGAGAGACCAAACTTGCCTACAAGAAAGACAAAATGAAGAACAGAATAGAGGCATGGGAAGACAAAGCACTACATGGCCAGTACATTAAAAAAAATAGCTGAGAAAGCAGATAATAACACCTGGCAATGGCTAAAAGCAGGAAAATTGAAGAAAGAGATTGAGGGACTAATTCTGGCTGCACAAGACCAAGCCTTAAGGACAAATGCATATAAAGTCAAAATTGAGAAGACAGCAACAGACGTAAGTGCCGCCTATGCAAAGAAGCTGAAGAAACAGTGGACCATCTGGTAAGCTGCTGCAAGAAGATTGCACAGACTGACTACAAGCAGTGGCATGACAAAGTAGCAACAATGGTGCATTGGAAGATCTGCTTCTCAGCCTTCGCCGCGTGTTTGTGGGACTATCGGTAAAAACAAAAAAGTTCCATCAGACTTTCTAACCTCTTGCGAGATCTTGTGAGAAGTTAGAAAGTCTGATGAAACTTTTTTTTTTTATCGATAGTCCCACAAACATGTGTCGAAGGCTGAAAAGCAAACGAAGAAATGGAATGCAGCTGAAAGGCAGGTTAGTAAAAAAATGCTTGGGGGAGGCGAGGGCATCTGGGCAGGGGTGGGCCCGGCAACCTTACCCTGCACCGCTTCAGCAAGTATCTGGCAGGGAGAGGGAAGCAACTGGTCTACCACCATGCTAGCGCCACTGTGTTGCTTCTCTACCCCATGCACAGGCCCCGCCCCACCCTTCACATGGAGCGCCCTGCTCCCGCTGCTCTCCCCACCCTCACGCAGCACCTTCTTTCCAGCTCTGATGCGTCACTTCCTCTGCCGCTGTGTGAGACTAAAAATAAAGTTCAATCAATCAATTGCAACTTTGCGAGATCTTTTTTTTTCCGCGAGAAGTTGAAATTGATTGAATGAACTTTTTTTTTTTGCACATGGCGGTGGAGGCCTAAAGCGAAAAGGTTTTATAAAACCCAGCTTAAAAAGCCACTTGCCTGGGGAGATTTTGATGCAGGTTGCTCATGGACGGGACTTAAGGCCTTGGACTGGGGCGACGGCGTACGTGCCCACAGAGAGGGCTCTGTGTGCCACCTGTGGCACGCGTGCCATAGGTTCGTCACCATGGGCATAGATTGTGGACACAGCAAATCCTGAGCTTGCAGAAAAAGAGACCTCTACCTAAGTCAGTGGTTCTCAACCTTTTTAATGCCGCGACCCCCAACCGGTCATAAGTCGAGGACTAAACCGGTCGTAAGTCGAGGACTACCCAACCGGTCATGTCGAGGACTTTCCCTGCCCGGGAGCACTGCACATGCGTGGTTCCGCCCCCTGCGCCGGCCGAGGCGTAGCTGGCAAGCGGTAGAGACAGAGCAGGCTGACCATCAGCTGGCCCAGCCCAAGGGAGGTAAGGCACCCGCCGGAAAAGGGGGAAAAATGGCGGACAGCCTTGCTTGGCGACCCCCGTGGAATGGTCGATCGACCCCAAATGGGGTCGCGACCCATAGGTTGAGAACCGCTGACCTAAGTGGTTTCAACCTATTGGTAATATTGTCAGATCTGCCTGGCTCGGCTTGGGGGCTTCATAGGCATCCTTCCCTAAAAAGAAGGGGGAGAAAGCATGAAAGGGCAATAAAGCTTTGTGTTTATGTGATAGGAAATCGGGAGGGGGGAATGACAAGTGATAAGGACCAGAGCAGCCAGATTCTGTTTGTACCAGCATCCCATGTCCGGGCACCCTGAGAAATATGCAGATTAACCCCCAAACACCTCAGAGTTCTCAAAACATCTTGGTGAGCTCTTGTTGGCTGGAAACGGACTGGTCACGGGGGGGGGAGGGATGGACTGGGAGCAAACCTACACCTTATTTTTGTATCCAGTGAGCGCAGTAATTTCAGAGCTGACTTGACTTTACTGCAACCAACACTTTTAATAAAAAGAACCCTTTGTTTTAACCTAATGGTGTCGAAGGATTTTCTTTTCTTAGGGATCGGATTGGGACAGGTCTGACAAATTTCCTCCAAACCTATGCATTGTTCTTCTCAGTAGCCTTGTATGGAAGACAAGACCTTGGGAGACTGCCTAGCTTTGTTTCTAGGTAATCAAGCAGAAGTTTATCACTAGCATCAATAGCAAACAGTTGCCAAGCCCATTGTTTTCCTAATGATAGATCTGCAAAAATCTGTGAATGGGTTTGTTCTTTTCTCCTCAGTAAGGAAGAGATTCTTCCATCCCGGCTTTGCTCTTTACTCAGTTAAGACTCAATGGTGCACAGTAAGTCATTCCTAAGACTGTATCCTGGTTCCTTGTTTCTTGAAATCCTGGCCATGTACAGGTATCTGTTAAATTTGGTACCAGGCTGCTAAATATTATTAGTATTGTTTCTACCTTTTCTATAGAAAACTAAGTCCTTGCATTTTTTTCCATTTAAAAGGTTCCTTACTGAGCATGTATGTCACAAAAACCTATTACAATAGTCCAACCACTGCTGTTTCAGAGACAAGAAGCGTTTATGAGTTCTGCATGCCAGTTTCTTTTATTTATTTCAAAAAATAAGATTTTATTCTATAGTCCAAGTCCATTGAATTGTATCCAGAGACTGAATTCCAGGTAGCAAATTGGCATTTATTGCCAGAATAGAATTGTATAATTCCATACCTATATTTAAATCTGTTCTTGTGGGTTGTAGACAACCCAGAGTAGAATGTGAATGTGTATATTCAGACTTGTAAGATTCTGTTATAGATGTTTTAATAAAAGTAGCTTTAGGTCCGCATAGTGTCTGCTTTTTATTTTGATCTACGTTATAGGGCCGACATCAATCTGGCCAATCCAAATATGCTTCCTTTCCTTTTTCTTTTATCTTCCTGTGAATTGGATGGTGGGAAAGTGAATGAGAACTTTTTGTAAATCACTTCCTTGCCTTGGGATCTGTCTATCTGATCATTGCCTTGATACTGGATCTTCCCTCTGTCCATCAAGGCCTTCTTATTTATTCATTACAGAATGGAACGGAAAAGAACAAAAAGAGGTCTTTTGAGGGATAGTCTGCTTATATAATGTTGATTGCAATATTATTAATATATTCTAATTTAATATTTTAATAGGTGTCACAGAGATACTGGATGGTCCATTTCCAATGGAGCTAGAGCGGTGCAGGTCCCCCACAGCTTCAGGTAATTATTATTTGGGGGCTAATTGTCTTTACATCTAGCATCTCAGAATTTAAATTTGATCTTGCTACCTTAGAAACATGAAAGCAAGTCAGAACTTGCTGAGTTACAAATAGTTCCTTACAAATAGTTTTCATTTTGGACTCATGTAGAAAACTTGCAGATTTGTTTACCATGTCTCTCAAAATGTTTTAGACCCATAGCTTTGTAGAAAGTCAATTTCTGATCTCTATTTTCTGAAAGTTTTCTTAGACACCCAAGATGTCTAAGCAGGGCAGTTTATTCTTTATGCCCAGACATTTGTATTAGCTTTGTATTAAAATTAATCTTACTTTTATCTTCCTGGAGCCATTTATAAAGAAAGATAAAAAGGCATACTTACTGGAAATTGCAAGAATACACAAAATTACATTTTTCTTTGCCTGAATGTTATTCCTACAATTCTGCTTTAAAGTGTAATTTCTCTCTCTCTTTTAAACAAATAGTTGATGTGAGGGGTCATGCTAGAGCAGAGACCATGAAATGGAGGACAGAATCTTAATTCTTTCTGCCTTCCATAGGGCTGACTATAACTAGACCTTATTATGCCTGTGTTTGCAATAAGAGGAAATTTCCAGTGTAACATGTTGTATTGAGCAAACTAGCTTCAATGCCAGTCTACCCAGTTTAAAATGAGAAGTGTACCAAGTGTACCCAGTGATGGGATTCAGCCAGTTTGCACCAGTTCAGCAGAACCACTGGCTAATTTTTTGTTGCCCAGGCCCAGAATGGACTTCCAGAAGAGAACCAGTTGTTCACATATTTGAATCCCACCACTGCAGTTGGGCCAATCTACAAGGTTTTCTCTAGGTGCATTATTAAAATAAGCAGTTAAAAACAATATGATTTGATATTTTGGGTAAGAATGAATGGAAATTAGAATTGAAGGCATTGTGCCTTTAAAATTTTGGATATATTTTGTGATTTCAGTGGATAAATGCAAATAGATGTGTTTGCATAATTAAACTTTTTTCTCTCTCTCCATGTTGAAACCCTGTGGTTTTCTAGTCTGATCTTACATTTTGAGGACAAGTTAGGGGAATTAAAAAAATCATTCCCTTTCCTTCTACTGCTATAAGCCGCTCCAGCAGAGAAACATTGCACTGGATTATTATACAGTGGTACCTTGGTACTCAATTGTTAATTGGTTCTGGGAGGTGTGATGAGTACCAAAAATGATGAGCACCAAACAATTTTTTCCCCATAAGGAATAATGTAGTAAGTCACAAGGCAGCTGACACTGACAAGTTCTAGCTTGTGCATCAAGTACCAAACAATCAATGAGTATCAGGACAAAATTTTCACGTGAAAATGCATTGAGTACCAAATTTCAAAGCAGTTGAGTACCAAATTATCAGTGTAATTGTATATTTCTTTAATGTTTTTCTTCTTTATTTTCTTTGTCTGGAGTTTGTATCTGAATGGCTAAGATGCAGTGGATAATTGTGAACCCTGTTCAAGTACATATGAGTGGTATTGGCTGTTCAACTTTATAACCAAAATAATGATAATAGGATGCTCAAAAAAAAGTTCTGAAGTTTTTAATTCACTTTTCTAAATGCCTCAGAAAATGTTGAAGTTACAGTGCATTGGACATATAATTCAGGAGTTGGAACATTAATTACATGCTTTGGCCTTTATCCTATTATTGTGTTTTGGGCTGCCATCAATAGAACTGTTAAAATGATTCTGTACCAACTGTAGCTTCTGAATATTTTTCAAGGGAAGCCCCATGTAGTGTGTGTTGCAGTAATCCAACTGAGAGATGACCAGGGTGTGAGTGACAGCATTCAGGGTCTATATAATTTACAATATCTTCTATATAAAAAAATACAAAAAAATTTGCATCAGATCTTCAATTTTGAACAAAAGTTTGGTATTCATTCAAGGTATAGGCTATTACAATATTTTCCATGTAATAGTAAAGAGAAATATTAATGTAAACTTTGTTACTGGCAAAAGAGCAAATAAAGTTCTCTTTCTTAACTGAAAATTTATATTATATAATATGTTTTGTAAAATTCTATAATATAATGCCTGCCTTTTCCAGTTTTGGTAGAATATAGAAAACAAATAACAGTAAACAGACAAATGTTCATTTTCTCAAATGACAATACAATATTTAAAAAATGTGTATGAAGCATAAGCGGAGAAGAGATTGTCAAATAACTGCAACCTTTATAGCAACCTCTTTTTGATCTTAATGAAAACTCTAATGTAATCTCATTTCAGATTCTTTAAATGGACACTGTACAAATCCAACTTCCCTAACTTGCAGTTCTGGAAAACGACTGTCCAGTGCAGATGTTTCCAAAATCAATCGTCGTGCTCCTGGAAAGCCTCCATTTAGGAAAGCACAGTCTGCTGCTTGCATGGAGATCTCTTTGCCCATCACATTGGAAGGTTAGTTTCCACTTACTGTATATTTCTGTTTTCATCTTTCAAATTTTTTTAATTACAATCTGTACGTGAATTAACACTGTCTTTATAGTTCTAAAGCAATAATCATGTATGGAATTAAAATTAAAAGCCTGTGAGAAGTCCTGCCTTAATGAGTGAGCTACAGCTGCTCTAACAAACAGAATCAAAGATTGCTTTCAGAGAGGAAGAGATGGTTACCGAAAATACATTTCTTTTAATTGGATAATAGCAAGACCATAATTTGTCTTGGTAAATGGCAACTTCATATGTTAATCTGTCTTACTTTTCTGCAACAGAAAACAGAGAGAACTCATTCAGTCCTTCTCGAAGTTCTAGCATCTGCAGTATTGACAAAGAATCTAAGGAAGCAATCACAGCTTTATATTTCATGGAGTCATTTTCACGGAAAAATGACACATCTTTGTCTCCTTGCCTCTGGGTTGGAACAGGCCTGGGTGTAGTCTTGACTCTTTCCCTTCACCTTCCCACTGTCGATGAATTAAGGCCAACAGAGCCAGTAACAATTTCGCTCAGTGGTAAGAATTTCAGATTATATAGTTGTTGAAATATGTCAATTAACACAAAGTCTAATTAGATTATGTCTTTCTGTGATTTTGCCTTGGGGCTGTTAATTGAAACAGAAAAGAAGAAAGGAAGGTCATTAGGATACCTGTGCTAACCTCTGGGATTGCCCCTAGGTATACTAAAGAGTGTGTATATGTCTATGCATGTCTACGTGTGTATGTGTAATGGGAGAGTAAGGTAATTTGAATATTTACAAAAGACTGAAAATAACACAAGTCTGTTTCAAGAATGAAGGCATATATACGTACCCCAGGATAATGTTGCAGGATCCAATCTGGGTTGGTCACCAGGAGCCAGAGGTTTTGTATTCTGAGCTTTCCGACTCCTGTCAGAACCCATCTTCGGGGAACTGCTGTCTAGCAGAGTGTGAGCTGTTCTGTGCGTGGTATCCCTGAAAATAAGACCTATCCCAAAAATAAGCCCTAGTTTGATTTTTTGGGGGACGGGCCTTATATAAGCCATACCGCCAAAATAAGTCCTATTTATTTGCTAAGACACGAGGCAGGGGGAGAGGGAGCTGCCCCACGCACCCCACACCCGCTTACCGTGCCACAGGGCTCCTGATGCTGCAAAGCGTGTTGCGCTGCTGTTGCCGCTGCCGCGAGGTGTGTCCCACTGCTATTGCCACTGCCGCAAGGCGTGGCTTTTAAGTCGTTAGCTGTTGTTTACTTGTGCTGCCCAGCCCTTGTCTTCTAAGTACTTGATAGGCTAGTGATAAATCAGCACTCGTGTTGACTGATGAGGAACCTGTTTCCCAGGCTTCAATCACTTCCCTGGCTGTTTTTGTGCTTGCTTATCCAACAATCTTAGTAGCTGCAAAATCAAATTCATTGTTTGCCTCACACTGCAACAAGGACACACAAAGAACAGCTCACACTCTGCTAGAGAGCAGTTCCCTGAGGATGGGCTTCGGCAGGAGTCCGAAAGTTCGGAATACAAAACCTCTGGTCCCGGTGATTGACCCAGATTGGATCCTACAAGACTATTTCAGCAGTCTGATATAATCTAGATTTGCTCTGGAAAGGATAGTTGAAATTGGGAGCAGATTGAGTGGGAAGTGAACCAGTGATCCATCCTCAGCAGTCTGAATGCATACCCTTTTTCTCAGGAAGAAGCAGAAACGGCCAAGAATTCCAATACTTTAGCTGACAAATTTTTATACGAGCCTAGTGACAGTCATTGTTTTGATATTGGATATTTAAAAAAAAAATCCATGCCAGCATTCGGGTATCATAACAAAAAAAAACTTTGATATCATTACAAATTCATCATTTTTGAGTTTTGATTAAAGTTAGCTCTTGTTTTAATTAAAAACAAATTTTGTACAACTCTTAAAAAAGCTTCTTTAATTCAGCACGTTGCTATATCAAAAGTAATTCAGAACATAACCTTTTGTTTAATAATTAAAGCATAGCAGAACTCTGGCTTGAAATGTCAGGAAGCTGCTAGAAAAGAATATGTACTTAATCCAGAGAGCATAACATTATTTCAACATTTTTCATCTATAAGGAACATGAGGGGAATATACTAAGAAATTGGGGAGTGGGGAGTGAGTTCCTTGACCTGACTGAGTACAGTATCTCTAGATTTAGAGGTCTGACCCTGTCTTGCAATCATATAATGATATATACTGAAATGGTATAAGCTGAAAAAAGTGTATGTATGTGTGTGTATGTGTGTGAGAGAGAGGGACAGAGACAGAAGGAGGGAGAGAGAAAGAAATTTTATAACGCAGCTAATATATACTGGCATCAATACAAGATTATTAAACCCTATGAATTCTGTTTTATAGGTACAATTTTATCACTAAAGGGAGCAGTGTTAACCTTTGCTTGCTTGGACTGCATGGGAACATTAATACATCCTCCCTATGAAGCATGGAAAGATCCAAATGCCACTGAGGATAGCGAAAGAACCAATAAAAGGAAACTTGTCCTTCATTATTCATGCTCCCAGAACACAGGAGACCACCAGCTTGCCATTATCTGCTCAGAGAAACAAGCCAAAGTATTTTCATTGCCTTCCCAGATATGCCTCTATGTTCACAACATCACAGACACATTATTTTTGCGAGCAGATGTGGTGACCCTCTGTAACAGTGTTTGCTTGGCATGTTTTTGTGCCAATGGGCATATCATGATACTGAGGTACTTGATACCATTTCATGAATGTAAGCCATGACCCTTTCTTGCCACACATAATCCTTGAGGTGAAGAGGAATGTGGCACTCTTCACTAATTGCTGAACAATGAAATCTGTGAGGTGTTGGTAAAGATGGATCCATCTGAAGGAGGATTCCAAGGAGATTCTGGTCAAGATAATGTTTTAAGAAAACACATATACAGTATACGCACATGAAGAACTCCAAATTCCATGCAATTTATTTATTCAAATTTACAAATGACCTTAAAACATAGCTAGAACCATCCAAGTGATTTCTAGCCTTTTGGGAGAAATTTCTTGTGTTGATCCTGCCAATTTCAACTTCTGATTGCTTACTTGTTAACCTTGGAAATTATCTTCACAGCTCAAATTATTGAATCTAGTGTTCTTCTCCCAAAGAATAGAATATATGCCTAAGGAAAGCTTCAGTCATTCATCTAATCTCTTAACCTCCCTCCAATACCCAGACAAACACATAATCCAAAATATCATCCCCAGCTACCTACCTTAAGCAGGGCATAAACATCACATGCTTCTCTCAGGTTCAAGAATATGGCCCATCTATGTCCTTATGGCTACAGAAGTATTTTATAGTATTTAGATCATTCTCTGTAGCTGGCAAAGTCTGGCTGAGTCTGAAGTTACCTCTTTTTAGCGGCTCACAGAAGTGACTTTATATGCAAGTTTAATTCACAAGTGCCAGATAATTTAGTTTTGCTTTTGTACAGCATATGGGTGCAATATAATCCAGGAATTTGAACAGAGGATGAATCCCTACCTGCAATTGCCATAGCAATTGATTGGTACATGCATTTTCTAACCTAATCTTGAACATTAAGCTTATAACTTAATGTTAATAACTGAACTGCATTTAATATGACTTATTCCCAAATAATTATTCATAGATCTGCAGCCATAGTCATTCTGATTATATTTAAATGCATAATTTTGTTTTGTTTGCTTGGATCACAGCTGTGAAAATATGGTACTCAATATGTACTGCAAATAATATTGTGTTAAAACCTGTTTCTACAGAATCTATCTGTTTATTTTCAGTTTACCCAGCCTTCGCTCGCTGCTAGATGTGAATTATTTGCCTGAAACAGATACAAGGATTGCCCGGACCTTTTGTTTTACCAATGAAGGACAAGCTTTGTATCTTGGTTCTCCAACAGAAGTCCAGCGACTGAACTATAGCCAGGAAATGTTTGACCATCTGCAGGTAGATCTTGAAATATGACAAACATAGCTTCTGTGCTGTAAAAGCGCAATGCCAAAAAAAGAAGTTTGTTTCCTTGAATCCAAAGTGGCTGAGCTGGAGATGATTTGAGAGTCGGAGAATATGCAGAAAATACTTGTAACATCACAGTTTCATCTCTCTCTCAAAATGACAGCTCATTTGCTGCCAGGAAGAATGAGAGTCTTAGGGAAATCCTTTGGAGAATACTGTTCTTTATAGGCAGGATATGATCCCTGGATAATGACCTCAAATCTTCTTGTACTAAGGATTCTACAGAGGATAGAGAGCTTTGAATTAGGAGTGAACTGATCATTAGGAAGTCAGGTGGATTTGTGACAGGCATGGAGATTGCATGATTACCTGCCTGCCAGCCCTAGAGCAAGGACTTAAACAATGAATAATGCCTGGGATGAGGCAACTTTGATACCAATGGTATTGTAAAATGTAGTTCAGCGAGGCCTGGAAGCCAAATTTAGTTTCTTAATTTGCAAACTGAAATCCAGGTTTGCAAGTAATGGTCTCGCAAATGTTACATGTTCTATCAGCTGGACAGGTGAAACTCAGTCGTACTTCATGAATGAAATGGTGCCAAGAGGAAGGACTGTCATATTAAACACTGAGGAGCCTGTGGGGTCCATGGTGCTCTTGGAGGTTGGTTGTTTTCTTGAGGACATTTCATTAGGCAACATCATCTGTTTATATACAAGGAGCTTATCCTGTCAGTATTGTTGGGAGTGTTCTTGGTAGTTCCTTGATTAGGCTGTAGTTCCTTGTGTGGGGGTTATTTATTTATTTATTTATTTATTTAATTTGATTTATATGCCGCCCTTCTCCCGACGGGACTCAGGGCGGCGCACAACATATTTAAAACAAAACATAAATACATTCCCCCCCGATAAAACCGAATTAGATCAAATTTTAAAGTTGTGTCTCTGTCGAATTGCTAAAAAATAAACCCCATATAAAATCCTCCCTAGGTCAGGTCCGCTTGCTGGAAAAGCCATGTCTTGAGGGCGCGACGGAAAGCAAGGAGATCCGGAATCATCCGGATCTCGGGGGGTAGTTCGTTCCAGAGGGTAGGGGCACCCACAGAGAAGGCATTGGTCACGTTGGTAAATGATCTCTGGAGGGCCCGGGACAGGGGTTATTCCTCTGTCCTTGTACTTTTGGACCTCTCAGCGGCTTTTGATACTGTGGACCATGGTATCATGCTGCGGCGTCTCGGTGAGTTAGGAGTGGGAGGCACTGTTATGCAGTGGTTCTCCTCCTTCCTCACCGACCGGACGCAGTCGGTA